TATCTTCTACATGGACCAAAATCTTCTATACTTTCAACTACATGTAATAAATAGTGAAAAGATATTAAAAAGATATTCAAAGTTGTTCATTTCTGTAAAGAACAATATATCTGTAGGGAATATATGCTTGCAAAATACTTTGCATAGAATGGTGATATTATAAATCCTTCATGTAGGCATTGTGATAACTGCATATGAGTACAAGCTGAATTAATGCGCAAAATTAACGTGGAATCTGATACTATTAGAATGGTAGAGGTAGTTAAAGAAGTAATAAACAAGTTGCATAAAACTGGAAAAATAATTTCACCAAAGGATATTATACAGGTTTATTGTCATCTTAAATGTGATAATGAAAAACTAATCTTAATGAAAATTTATAATGAGAAGTAAGAAAAATATGTTCGAACAAAAGCTGATGCTCAGTACTTACTAGATTGGCTTATAATACATGAAGTTGTAAAGGTAATGATAAATTTATATCAGCCAAATCCAAATGGAAATACAATGCAAACAAATATTCATATAATTGGGATTGTTGAAGATGCAAATGTGCTAATAATAGCAGAAAATTGGGAAATATGACTTTTCTTTTGAAGACAACTATAAAAAATATATATATTATAAATATCATATTTTAAAAGAATAAAATATATATATTTTTATAATTTTAGAATATGTTACGCTGTCGTTAATGACTCATACAAAGAGTTGACTTAAAACTAAACTAAAAAGGTGAAAGCTAATAATATTCTTTATTTCACATTCGCTAAAAACAATGACATTCGTAACTTTTTTGAAACTTCATTAAAAGGTTTTTCAAAAAAAGTTTAAACAACAAAATATTTTGAGTTAAAAACAGAAGTTCAAGACTGTAGTTTTCTAACTATATGAATTTTATCCATTTATGTTAAGTATTACAAAAAGTTCATATTATAGAAAATTGGTATTACAAAATATTTTTTTTTGGACATTTTTTTATATGATGATCATATAAGACAAAATACTCTATTTTTAAAACAAAAAAGAAAATGAAAGTGAAGCCAATACTAATGATGAAGCTAGTGAAACCAGCACCACTTTCAGCATTACCTTCAATCCTAATGCAAAATTTAATTTATCTTATGATAAAAATTTAAGTAAAATGAAATTCTTATTAATCACTATATAAATAATAATTTTTATATTAACTTTTTATTAACAAATATTAAAGAAAAAGAAAATGAAGATTCAATTAATAAAAATAAAAAAGGTAAGAAATTTATCTTTTTTTTTTTACAAATTTATAATACTCATTTTTTTATATTTATTTTGATTAATTTATATTAAAAGAAATATTACAGAAAAGAACAAGAAGTACAAAAAGGGAAAAATTTAAAGAAGATTGATTTTTTAATTTTTTTTAATTTCTAATTTTTTTTTTTAATTTTCAAATTTTTATTATATTAATAAAATCTAAATTGCTTAATTAAAGCATATAAAATATATGTTTTATTCATGATTTTGCATCTGTTAAAACATTATAAAATATACGTTTTATTTGTGATTTTTGCATCTGTTAAAGCATTACAAAATATATGTTTTGTTTGTGATTTTTGCATCTGTTAAAGCATTACAAAATATATGTTTTGTCCGTGATTTTTACATCTGTTAAAGTATTACAAAATATACATTTTGTCCATGATTTTTACATCCGTTAAAGCAGTGCTGGGTTTTATACATGTCTAATGGGTAGATTGGGCATTTGTACATTTTGGGCAGATAAAATATATTATTATCTGGCCTAATAGTTTGATTATGTAAATTATGTGATTTTTGATAATCAGTGATGATCATAAAAAAAACTTGATCTGATTTTAATTTAAGTAATTGTCAATACTATTTAAAATGATCAGTGATCTTAAATTGCTTTTCCAAATTTTTTTTTTGCATTTTTTCCTTTGTTAAAAATATCACGTATTAATAGTGATAGTCCTCCAAAATATTATTTTACAAGCTATATTAAAATATTAGAAAGTGAATCAAATAGCATATATAACAAAAAAGTACAGTATATAGTGTGTAGAGATAACCTTGGAGATAATACATATATATTTACCAATAAAAAAGATTGTGTCAAACGCCATTTAAAAAATTGTGATTTTTTTAAAGAAAAATGGGAAGAAGAAAGAGTATACGAAATTTTGCATAAATCTGATAATTCTGATAATGAAATATCGGTCAAAAAACAACATATTGATAAATATATTTTTAAAATAAAATATATTATTTTACTTTTGATTTTTAAATTAAATAAAATTATTGTAAAATAGATGCTGTTGATCTTACTAGTGATCTACTAGCTATACAATTACGAATTAAAACTGATATAACAAGAATTTCAAAAAAATTATAATAAACCTTATTTAATTCTTATGCAGCCTGAAATTTTACTAAATCTGAAATCCCTAAATTTAACAATCTTATTTTAAATGTAACTGTATCAAATGGATTTTCTTTCTAATGGGTAAATGATCCAGCTACAATTACATTATTCAAATAGTTAAATCCTAAATTAAAACTACCTGTTCAAAAACAATTAGCTGATCAATTCTTCATCAGCAGTAACTGATTTAAATAATGCTCGTAAAAAAAAATTACAGCAAATAAAAATCAAGATGGTATTACTTTAGTTTTTAATGGTTGGAAAAATATAATTAATCAAAAGTTATTTAAATCAATGCTTGTTTTGCCTTCAGGTGAAACTTTAGTTTAGAAAGCATATGACATTAGTGGAGAGCATGATAGAGCTATTGATGTAATACCTCATATAGAAAATATGTTAAATGAACTAAAACAGAATAATATTAAAATTGCAGCTATAATTAGTGATAGTGCAGCTGGTTATGCATGTGTCTGGTAATTATTTTTATAATATCTTTTATTTATATTATTTAATAAACTAATAATATATTTTTTTAAAATCAGCAATTACATTTCAAATATACAGATATTGTTTAGCTTCCATGCTTTGCGTATCAGTGTAATCTTGCTGTTAGAGAAATATTCAAAGAATCAAATATATTTGCTTAAACTTCAACTAATGCAGTAAAGGTTTTTTATATTTTAATCAGCCAAATAATATATATTTTATCAGTAAACTGCGAACTATTTAAAAAGAAATGTATGGTATATATATTTTTATTATAAAACTAGGAGATACAAGATAGAACTCATATTATGATTATTTTAAAAGTTTATTAAAAATAAAGTGAGCTTTACAAGTGAGTTTATTTACAAAATAATTCTATTAATATATTATAATTTTCTAATATACATTTTTTTTATAGAATTTAGTTACTCAATATAGTCTATCTGTTTTAAACGAATGCACTTTACAAAGACAAACTACAACTAAGGAATTGTATTTGCTACAAAGTACCGTATTCCTCTAAAAATAAGCACTGCGTGATATATATAAATTTATTAGTATATACGTGACAAATAATATAATAAATTTTATGTGATAAATAAATAAATTACTATAAAAGGAGCATGTCATAGGGTGCTTATTTTTGGGAATATATGGTATTTGTAATATACTTTTTGATGAAACTTAGTGGTAAATATTGCAGAATTAGCCATATTAATGAAGCTGTATTGTGGTGCTTTAGATCAAATGCAAGCTGATAAAGTTAGATTATATGATATAGCAATTTCTTTTGGTTTTTTATTAAAATTTGAGAGGATTATAGTGATCGCATTTTTGCTAAAAGAATGATTTTACGTTTACAAAAGTGATGGAAAAGTTGGGAGTAATCACTTTTATTACTTTCAATTTTACTTTACCCTTCTTATCAAATGAAATTGTTTAATCCTAATTTGGAAAATATTAATTATGTTGTATTAGGTAAATTTTTAGTATATTATTACAAAGCCTGGGAAAAAAATGCTAATTAAAATTTTGTCTGAGTTTGAATTATATCGAAGTAAAAAATTTCCTTTTGATAATGAGACAATTATTCAATTTGAAGATGATATTCTGAGTTTTTGAAATTTTATTGCTTTAAATTCTAAAGAATTAGGCATAGTTGCTATAAGGATTTTTAGCATTACTATAAATTCAGCATCTGTAAAGAAATTATTTTTATCAATGGGATTTTTACATAAATCTCAACATAATGTAATGAAAGTAAGAATTAATTATGTTTTATATTTAAGTTTAAGATAAATAAACTGTAAACTTATAAAATGTTTTATAATTTAGTATAAGAAGGTCTTAGCATTATCTCAAATTCGAGCTGATATCCATCAACAAGAGTGTAAATTAAAAAGAGAATGTGATGAAAAAAACAACTGGTATTAATGTTTTTCCTATTAATGAAATAAAAAATCCAGAAACTTTGGATAATGAAATCGGAAATAATAAAACAAATCAAAATTTAGAAGATTTAGAATTAGAAGAAGAATATATTACTACAGAACAAGACTGGCAAAATAGATTATATGAATGGAAAGAAATACTTAATGAAGAAGAGAGTGTTGAAAGAGAAAATATAAATATTCAAGAAAATGGAGGAATGGTTGAAGAATTATTAGTAGATTATACTCATCCAGCAATAGACATTGCAGCTAAATAAGATTTACACGATATATTCATTTGTGAATTAAAAACACCATCTTTATTAGCCATGAATCTAATGAATAATAATGTAATAAATGCTAATATAAACCTTTAATAAATTTGATCAACTATTCATTCATCTATTAATTAAATTATAATTTTATAATTTATTTTTATTAATGTTAACAAAATTAAAAAAAATTAAAAAAAGTTACACCTTATTTGGTTTTTTTATATATTGTATCGATAATGTTAATTTGGAAGCGCAAGGCAAATCTTTTAATATCGCTATTGCTAGCTATCAATAGATTAATAAAAATAATTATCATACTAATATTTTAATATCTGTTTAAGAAGCGCGCAATTCATAATTTTTATGATCTGATACATCTATTAACGCTTATCTGTTTTAAATAAGCATATTTATATTCTTCTGATTTCCCTATATAAATTATAAATGTAAATTAGAAAAAATAATGATAGTAAAATAATACAATAGATATATTGAATATAAGTAAAATAAATACCTTTACACATTATTCTTTATTTATATCAATCACTTATAATAAATATCATTTCCATCTTTATTCTATAGCTTCATTTTCATATTTATCTGATTAGTAAGTTCCAGGATTGCTCTTGGTAGTTTAATAATACCAGTTGTGATAGTAATTATTCGAGGAAAAAAAATAATTACCATTCCTGTCAAAAACTTTTCATATAAAAAGTAAATTAGTATCGGTATATACAAAAATAAATTGATGTCTATTTCTTTGAATAATACTCACAGATATTTTCACATATAGTGCATCTAATTATAAATGAAATAATAATCATAAAACATTCCTTTAAATATAATGTCAAAGAGTAACAAATAGAATTTAACTTCTAATATTAACCTACATGTCCAATAAATACTAAGTTTGATAATACTCTTTCCATATAATTCCTCAATAATACAAGTTATTCTCTTTTAAATAATCAGATTTAAAATTTTGTATTTAGTATCGGTATATAATAAATTAAGTAATTTTTTAATTTTTTATATCATCATTAATATTAACATTAAAAAAACTTACTATGCCTTATCAAAACTCTTAAATTCAAACTCATTACAATATATATAGTCTGCAAAGTATTTTTACTTTCCAGTAATAGGTACATTTCATTTTCACCATAAAATAGTGACGAAAAATTTTAAACTTTTTGAAAAAATATCATTTTAAGGTTTAATTGCTATAAAATTTATTGTTCTATTTATTTTAAAAAACAACTTAAAGGTATATTATTTCTTAATAGTGTAGACATAGTTAATTTGTTACATTTTTGTAAAAAATAAAATGAAGTTACACTTTTTTTGCTTTTTTTTGTTTTTTTACATTGGTCAATCATGCTGATCCCTTATTAAAAAAAAATAAATCTCAATTTTTTAGGGACAAATCTTATGCTCGTTAAAGTAAATTGATATATTTATTTATTTGCCCAAAAAGGGGGTATAAAACTTATATTTTGATAAATACAATTGGGCAATTATACAAACTGTATTTTACCTTGTATATAAAATGCCCAAAATTCCTAATAGCCAGTACTGCATTAAAGCATTATAAAATATACGTTTTGTTCGTGATTTTTGCATCTGTTAAAGTATTATAAAATATACGTTTTGTCTGTGATTTTTACATCTGTTAAAGCATTATAAAATATACGTTTTTTCCTTATTTTTTGTATATGTTTTTTTACACTTTTTCATATTAAGTTTAAGGTTTTTACTTAAGATAAAAATGTATACATTATACTGAAATTCCATAAAATTTATATATTATAAAACTTTATATTTTTATGAAATTTTTATATTAAATTTTTTATTGGGATTTACTACCTATATTAATTAATAATATTCTTTTTTATTAAAGATATTATATCTTCTAATTATATATCTTACATTACCTTTTTTTTTTGAAAAAAAAGAAATATTAATAGTTTTTGAAAATATTATCTATTATCAAAGTATTTAAATAAAAATATTTTTCATTTTACTTTTTAATAATTTTATATTTAAAATGTAATAATAATTATAAAGATTTCTATCACATTTAGTTGTATCCTATTGTTTATTTTGAAATAATATATACAAACTTTTAAAATTGATAGGCTAGAATATTAAATTTTATTACAATATAACTTTGTATTTTTTTTTATATTTATTAAAGAAATTATTTTAGTTTTTTTTGAACTTTATTTATAGTAATTTACATAACTTAATTATAATATATGTAATATATTTCTTTTTCATATATTTAGTGTTTAAAAATATATAGAAAATATGAATAGATTATATTAGCTTCAATTAATTATTAAAAAGCTAAAAATATTAACTTAGTACTAAAAAATAAAATTTTATATTCTAAAATTAAATTCAATTAATATTATAGTTCAGATAAGATTTATTAATTAAATTTTAGTATAATAATGATTAAGTTCTCTTTTGTTTTTCTTCATGTTTTATTTTTTGAAAATAATATTATTAGCTTAGATTAAGTTTGAATGCAAAATCAGTTTTTATAGATTAAGTAAATTTTAATAATAATTTAATTTTTTATTTTTATATATAAAAATTGTTAAATATCTATCTGTTTATCACAAAATTAACTAAGATTAAATGTAATATAAATATGTCTTTTATACAATTTTCTTTATATGATATCTTGTTAACAAATTAACATTATATAATAAATTATTTTTGTATTAAATTTATTTATTAACTTTTTCTATTATATATTTAAGCAATATAAATTAATATTTTAACACATAATAGTTCCTATTTTCTAATTATATATAAATTTATTAGTATTAATTAGTAATAAATTATAGGTTTTAAAGACTGATTTTGTTTTTTATATAGAGAAATTGCTAAAATTATTAAATAAGAATATTAAAATTAACTTTAAATTTTAAATATTAAATCTTTAGATTTAATATTTATTTATTATACATAAATTTATTAGTACTATAACTTTAATTAATAATAAACTATAAGTTTAAAAGGCTAATTTTTAGTAGTATATAATTGGGCTTTTTGACACATAAAGCCCAAATGCGTCCAGAAGGTTTTCCTGAGTATCAAAAAATTATACTCATAGCGTATTCCCTTTGTTTT